CCAACTCCCATCATCTCTTCAAACTTACTTCCTTTTCAGTGCTTGCTTTTCCCCCTCTTGTGCGTTCTTCCCACCCACCCACTTCACCTGTTACCTCCCATCCTTTCCCGCGATGCCGACGCGCACCGTCGGTCGCTACCGTCTCACCAGTCAGCTTGGCTTTGGCATGTTCTCCAAGGTAATGCTGGGCGTCGACGACGAGACCAACCGCCGCTATGCCGTCAAGATCATGCGAAAAGAAAATCTTGAAGATCTCGAGATGGCCCGTTACGCCCGACGCGAAGCCGCTGTCCTCCGCAAGCTCTCTCACCCCAACATTGTCCGCTTTGTCGAGGCCATTCAGAGTGATACAAAACTCTTTCTCGTCATGGAGATAGCGCCTGGCAAGGAACTTTTGGACATTGTTGCAGACGGCCCACTCAGAGAGCAAGATGCAAAGGGTTATATAAGGCAGATTGCATCCGCGGTGGCCTACTTGCATGCCAATCGCATCGTCCATCGCGATTTAAAGCCTGAGAATATCCTCGTTGATGTCGAAACGCGATCCTTGAAGATTATTGATTTTGGTCTCACAGGTATTATCAGGAAACAATCGGTTATGCGCACCTCGTGTGGTTCGAGTTATTATTCCGCCCCGGAAGTCACATACAGCACTGGCGAGGGCTACGATGGTACGAAAGCTGATGCTTGGTCCTTGGGTATCCTTTCCTACATTATGCTCACGGGCTCCCACCCGTTTGTTGATGCGGACGGCGATCTTATGACTGCTATGATGCGCCAAGGCATGGTCGAGTACCCCGAGTATCTTTCGCGCGGCGCTATCCACTTCATCTCACGTTTGCTCGCAATTGATTCCCGTAAGCGCTACTCGGTTGCCCAGGTCTCCTTACACCCGTGGCTTACCGGGAAGCCTGTACCAATGGCCGGACATGCGTCCGACCTTAAAGACCGCCCCAAGAAACACACGGATTTGCGCACGGGCGGTAATGCTGATGGCATACGAGGGAGCGTTAAGAGACCAGGCACATTTACTGGAGGCCACCACAAGACTCTTTTCGGACGAAATCATTCAGATAGGAACAATCACAGTTCCCCGAGTTTAGCGATGCGGAGACGCTCAAGTCAAAAAAATAGCAGCGGTTCATTTCTGTGGTTCCGAAAACAGAACAACGTCCAAGAACATGAAGTGAATGGCGACCGCACAGACGGAAATCCCACCGATTCACTACTATCGCGGAGAGGGTCGTTAGATCGACCCAAGGGCACGCGGGAAGGCCATGGATTTAGGCGCGAAGGAAGGGTCACCCTCGATATCATGAACGGTATGAACGGGCGACCAGTGCATACGGATGCTGACGAAGGAAGCGGGCCTCGCGTGCGAAGGCAACTCTCCTTGTCAAGCCGCACTAGGGCATTACTCATGCGCGGCTCGCATGGTGCTGAGCAATGACCCTTGATGCAGTTTAGAATCAAGATCCACACTCTTCGAGTATATATTATTTTGTGTAAACAGGCATTTCGGCTGGAATTTGTATATCTAGTAGCCATCGGAAATGATGCAGTGCCATCGATGGGAGAAGATAGTGACATCCGAGCCGCACGTGCCCTTTCCTTGACTACCGCATGTATCTTTTCATGAAACGGCGATGAAAGTCGTTCCGAATCGTGTCGTTGATGAATCGTGGAGTCTCCTTGCGTTCGCCTTTTGCTTGGTTTCGAAAAATGACGTCGTCGTCCCATCGCCGCTTCACGGCAAACGCCGGGACACTTCCAGTGCCCATACTAGCAGTGTCACTGACTTCATCGTTGAACATGTTCAAGTTTGACATGAGCGGATTACCGGAGGCTGCCTTTGCTGTTTGTTCACGCTCATGGCGTTCTTGCTCCTCAGACTGCTTCCTCGCTCTTTCGAATTCACGCTCCTTTCGGATTCTTTCCAATTCCGCTAACAGCTCAGCTTCGTCGTCATCTGAGTCCTCGTTTTCATCTTCCGAATCATCGTCTTCTTCCACGTTCCTGGCACCACCGCCACTACCGACATGCTCTCCACCGCCTGCACCTGGCCCTACCGAAACATCTCTTCGTTTTTCACTCTCAGATTCCTCATCACCATCCAATTTCGCATCTCTATCTAAATCCTTTGTATTCTCAATCGCTGGTGTCTGAAACTCTGCGGGTAGTTCATCGAGCAACTCAAGTTCCGGTATAGATTCCAGTTCGAAGCGTGCCTTCTTCCGGTGAGGGCCTGAAGCTGCAAGCTCTCCCGACTCAAGAGAGGCACGAAGCGCTTGACGCGATGCTTCTTTCTTCTGCGAGGGCGCCCGGCGCTTCAAGTCCGGCTCGGTCGGCGCGTCCTTCGAAGACACTGCCGCCGATGGCACGTGTAAGCGGAAGCTGCCTTCTTCCTGCAACCCTCCACGCGCAGCTTTCCATGTTGCGCGGTGTGCAGTTGTCATCTATGAAATTTTGTGATGCGTACAAGTTGTTTGGGATACGGCTGCAATGCGTTCCTGGCCCGACCCTCAGCAAGGTAGTTTGGTTTTTTCAAGGTTGCCCAGGGTTGTCTGTGAAGTGTTTGGGAGGGGAGTATGTTCTGTCGAGCAACGGTTGATTCTCATAGAATCTCACTCCACTTTCATAGAATCCCAAAAATATTAAAGGAAAATACGACATGGAGCGGTATGTCCAACGTCCGCTCACAGGACCATGATGCGATGCTTGTGCACAACTGTACTGCTGGGAAATAAAACACGTGTCAGTATGTGCCGGCTCAGACGCGGGGCGACAGTTGCTGCGAAGAGAAAGAAGGCTTGTCGGCTGTTGATGCATGGGCCGGCACGGGGAATTGCGCACGGGGAATTGCACATGGGGGACGAAAGGAAAGTGTGGGGGGGACCGCGAAGGGAAAAGGAGCGGGGAGTAGGCGACGGGAAGGGCCAGTAGGCGAAAGGAAAGGCGGGGAACCGGATATGGGTGCAAGACCCCAGGGCTTGGGGGGCGCGGTGACGAGGGAAGGTAGGTAGTATACAGTGCTGGCAAAAACTATAAGGCACCTGGTACTTTTGCATATTCCTAGAAAAGTTTTTATGCTATCATAAAACCCTTTGCCTTATTGAAGGCCAATTAGGCGCTGATACTGCCCATGCAGTTATTGTTTAAAAAAATCTATGGCGGTGGACGCTATCGCGTCTTATTCCCCAAACGCTTGGCGAAGACTATAAATACAGTTGCATACACGTGCAACAAAAGACCCCTCAAAGAGCTCCTTTCGCGCCAAAAAGCTTTACACAGTGCAAACTATCTCTTCCTCATTGCTACGAGCCACTGCGGTTCCCCAATCTAAAACAAAACACGCACAATCATGCCTCGAAACACAAGGCTCACAACTTTTGAAAAAGGACAAATCCTTGTCCATCACTCCAACTGTATCTCCCTATCTGGTATTGCCCGCGAGCTGGGACGATCCCGCACAGTTGTTACAAAATTTTTGCGCGATCAAAAGCGGTACAATCGCAAAAATCCAGGAGGAAGGCCGCCAAAATTAACGGAGGCTAATAAGCGAAGAATTTTACGGGAAGGCTCCAAAGGAGATTTGGGGTCAGCAGGGATTGTGACAGCATTGCAACTAAGTGTCAAAGCTCGCCGTGTACGCCAGGTTCTCGCTGCAGCCGAGCATTTGCGATACAAGCAAATTGCACCGACACCAGCGATGCGTGAGCGTCATGAAAAATCTCGGCTCAAGTTGGTGATGACACGAATGGTGTGGAGCAATGCAAAATGGTCCCAAATAGTCAGGTTTGATGAAAAGAAGTTCAACGTGGATGGACCAGACGGTTTGGCGTATAAATGGAATGACTTGAGAAAGGAGAAGGAGTGGTTTTCAAAGAGATAAAATGGGGGTTCGAGTGTTATGGTTTGGGCATGCTTTGCCGGTTCAGGGATATCAGAGCTTGTTTTTTTGGAAGGAAAGCAGGATGGAGCGAAGTACGTGACAACTCTAGAGAACCATCTGCTAACTTTTGCGGAGGATCTACCAATTACTTGGACGTTTATGCAGGATGGCGCACCTTGCCATCGTTCACTGCTGGCGAAAAATGGCTCTCGGACAACGGTATATCGCTGCTAGAGTGGCCTGCGTACTCGCCAGACCTGAATCCCATCGAGAATCTGTGGGGTATACTCGTGAGGTCCGTTTATGCGCAACAGAGGCAATTTGAGGATATTGAGTCTCTTACTGAGTGTATCATGGCAGCTTGGGCAAATATTGCACCCAATACGCTCCAAAAACTTACTGAATCTATGGAGAAGCGGTGCTTTGATGTTATGTACGCCAAGGGGAAGAAGATATGCTATTAAACACTTTTCCTTGTCTAGTTCCGAGCGCATTAGACCTCTGTGTATGCAACTGTATTTATAGTCTTCGCCAAGCGTTTGAAGAATAAGACGCGATAGCGTCCACCGCCATAGCTTTTTTTAAACAATAACTGCATGGGCAGTATCAGCGCCTCATTGGCCTTCAATAAGGCAAAGGGTTTTATGATAGCATAAAAACTTTTCTAGGAATATGCAAAAGTACCAGGTGCTTTATAGTTTTTGCCAGCACTGTAAAAGGGAGCCAGGGGGAGGAAGAGAGAAAAGGGGGGCAGCAGGAGGTGACCTGGACGTCGAGTGGACTCTCGACGAGCGGTGAGCATCGGGTGGATTCCCGTGTAGCTGAGTGGATTCTCAGGGACCGCTCCAGATTCAATAAACGTTTTGGTTTGACAGTGCACAGGAGACCGGGCACAGCATTACAAATTTGTAAGTGGAGTCAGCCAAGCAAAGAGAAACAAACTTGCGTCGGTGGTGGAAACTGGACAAAAGGGCCGACACAACATCGGACGAGAAGCTGGACATGGAAGGCGAAGATATTCGCTTTGGCAGAGACAATGGTGCACCCGTGGAGAATTTCACCAGCCCTGTGACGCCTGTGGGCCCCGCTCAAGCCACAGAATGACGAAACATTCACGAATCAGGCGAGGATCCAAAATGCGAAACTGTGCGATGCGCTGGTTTTAGTAAAAGAAGTGATGGGCCGAATCCTGGAACACTTGAACAGGAACACAGCAGCCGTGGTACAGATTGGAGAGTCTGTCTCGAATCTGGGTGTCACTGTGGAAGTGTGCATAAGACTCGACCGTAGCACAAGTGGCAAAAATGCTGTTGATGAGGAACAAATTGGTGCGAGGGAGAGCCGCCCACCCTCCGTCCGCATGCGAGAATCTCAATACCAAGACGCGGCGCCATGCCTTTTGGAACCACATGCAGCCTTCAAGATTTACTCTAAAGGGATGATCTCTGTTCGGGTAAGAAAACCCGGGGATGGCAATGTTTTCGGTGCACGAAAGGCGTGGGTTCGCCTTTGCCACGATTTTCCTGTTGCAGCCGGAACGCACCGCCGTCTCCTCTCCTGCGCGTTTTCGGAATGCGCTTTGGCCATCTACGCGTCGGTCGCCGCTGAGAACTTACATTCAACGGCAGACGAGCTATGGGAGGAGCTAAGCCATAGGCTTTGCAATGCCAGCTATCGGAGGGCCCTACGTCTGACATTTGACACGATCTCGTGGCATGAGAGCAAGGAACTCGTGAGCGAATTTGCTGGACGGGTGCGGGCTGCCGCATTGATGCTACCCGAAGCTGTCCCGGACGAAATTATGGTAGATCGCTTCGTGCAGTCGCTCCCCACTAATATGCAGAATTTGGCTTTGTCGATCCCCGGGACCTTCGATGAGGTTACGGCGCGGATATTGATGATGTCCCTGACGCGGACTTCCGAAGGCAGTCGCACACGATTCCGCAACGAACGCGTCCTGCAGGCCTCGGAAGGACCACTGGACGGGGGACACGTGGCAGCCGCCCCAATTAACGCTCGAGCAGAAGGTGGACAAGGCGCGGATTGGACGGAGACCGCAAAGTGCTACCGCTGCGGGCTGACGGGACACATTGCATCGAGCTGCCCCGAAAAGCCCTCTAGGATGCGTTGCAAAGAACCGTAACCAACGGGGAAATGAAGGGGGAGCGCTTTCAGTCGCGAGGCGCAGATTCCCCACCGGAACTAGCGACGAAGGCCCTAGCGGCAGTAACAGGAGAGAAGAAAGCTATATGCCGCTGCGTTGGGGATGGTCCAGGTGGACGGGAGGATGTCGCCGTCCAAGTGAAGTTTGGTGGGGAAACGCGGTGGGTGCGTTTGGATACAGGGGCACGCTTTGTGTGGGTCGATCAGGGTTGGTTCGAGGGGCACAGCGGTGTGTGGGTCGCAGACAGTTCTCGTGCAGTCACTGCCGATGGAAAGGACATGGCCGTGTGCGGAAAAGGGAAACTGATTTTGAGCTCTGGGGACAGCCTTTTTTGGAAGCAGTGCGGGTGGCTTCTTGTCTGCCGTCCAAGCTTTTGCTCGGGAGCCAATTTTGGAAACGGCACGGCCTTTTCCTGGATCTGGGGACAGTGAGGGGAAGAATCAGCGTGGAGGGGCGAAAGCTCGAGGCAAGAGTGTCACGGCGCCGGGACGTGCGACTGGATATGGAAACAACCGTGGCAATCAACGACGCAGACGTGGATGACGCAATCCGGGAAATGGATTTGTCCCATTTTCACGGAGAAGCCGCGATGCAGGAGAGGCTTCGGCATATTTCGTGGATGGGGCGAGGGGCTTTCAAGGGACTTGTCCACATCAAGGGGGTGGAACACACCATCACATTGGTGGCAGATGCAAAGCCCGTGTGCTCTCCGGTGCGACGCAGGTCCCCAAAGAAGGAAGAGATCGAGAGAACAGCGATGCAGAAGCTTTTGAGAATGGGAGTCGTAGAGCACGCGCCTTCCCCTTGGGCGGCGTGCAATGTGTTCGTCCGGAAAAAGGACGGGTCCACGAGGGTCACATCAGACTTCCGAGGTTTGAATGCCGTCACAGTGGGGGACTCGTACCCAATGGAGGATGTGCGCTCCACTCTGGACCGGATGGGTAGCAAACGCATCTTTTCTACCTTTGACTTAAAGGACGGTTTTTTCAAGTGAGCCTGGCTGAGGGCTCTCGCGACTACACTGCGATTCGCACGGTCATTGGTTTGCTAACGTATGTGCGGCTGCCCCAAGGGCTGAAGAACCCCCCGCAGTATTTCAGACAGTGGTCAATGCCGTTTTAGGGAGTAAGAAGGGACGCGATGTGTGGGCATTTATGGATGACATTAGTATGGGGAGTCAAACGGCTGAGTCCCACTTGCTGTGCCTAAAATTGGTCCTTGACACGTTTATAGCCGCAGGGGCTCGTCTGAAGCTTTCTAAGTGCGCCTTTGGGGTGCGGGAGGTCGAGGTACTGGGGCATCGCATTGGAGCACAGGGAATAAAACCCTCTGATTTGCATATGCAGGCCATCCGTGACCTTCGCCAACCTCAAATTCGTGAGGATTTGATGAGGTTTCTG